TGCTTCCAAGATGGTGGCACCTTTCAGAAATGACCAAAGGCCTGTTTTGTTCTGTCTTGTTTCAGACAGGGGCAGATATCTGTGGGTTCTTTCAAGATGCTGAGTATGAGATGTGTGCTCGCTGGATGCAGCTGGGGGCCTTTTACCCCTTCTCCAGGAACCACAACACTATAGGCACCAGGGTAGGACTTCAATGCTGCCCATTTTTTGTTTGCTTTTTGATTTTCTTTTTCTCTTAAAGTATGCAAGTATTTGTGAGCTAAGTTGATGCCAACTGTTTACCTAGGGAAGTCTTGAAAACTGTTATACCCTTCTTTCAATGAACCACATTCTTCAGTATTGTTTAGGTGATTTTTTTGTTCAGAAAGAGTCTTCCTAATGCATCCCTAGAAGAATGTCTGATGGGCAAATTTTATTTTCTTTCTGGGAGGGGGTCTGTGACAATTTCCAGTTTATTAAGAAGACTCTTGGAATCTCAACTCTACTTTAGTTTAACTGTGTGTGAGGCATGTGGAAAAACATTCTCTGAACTTTCCCAGTTCCCCTTGCATGAACTCTGAAGACTTCCTTTCCTCCTTTAGAGACAAGACCCTGTGTCGTGGGATGCTGCCTTTGTGAATATTTCCAAAAGTGTGCTGGAGACCAGATACACCCTGCTGCCATACCTCTATACCTTGATGTACAAGGCCCACATGGAGGGCATCACTGTCGTGCGGCCTCTTCTCCATGAGTGAGTGTCCAGCTGGAACCCTGCCCACCAATGGGTAATGCATTTCTTTTTCTAGAGTGGTTCTGGATGAGACAGTTTCTCCAAACTGAAGACATGATTCCTTTTTTTTGTAAGTTATTAGACCTAGGTGATTTTTTGTACTGTATAGGTCAATGAAGAAAAGGTATCTATCAAGTGAAAAAAATTTCTGAAGGGATACAACATAACACAGTATAATTTCTCTGTCATTTGCCAATGCAAAGATTTCCCTTTATCTTGTACCAGTTGAGTTCCATGGGCCTGGGCCTATATGAGTTCAGTTAATCAAAGGGGAAGTTACTTCAGTGAAGATGTAAGGGATGAGGGCCAACCTGGTGTGTAGCTTGGGGCATGGTGAGCAAATATATATCTTCCTTCAGAGCAGCCAGACCTGTGCAGAGCGGGCCACATGTTCTTGGTGACACTAAGAAGTGAGGATAGCAGTGGATGCAGCTAAATCTCTCACTGAGATTTGAACATGGGGTATTTCCTCAGGCCTTGGGCTCTGATTATGACCAGTTCATTTTCCTTCCAGGTTTGTGTCAGACCGGGTGACGTGGGATGTAGACAGTCAGTTCCTGCTGGGCCCTGCCTTGCTGGTCAGCCCTGTCCTGGAGGCTGTGAGTGTGGAGGGCCGTGCTGGTGGGTGGTTGGTCCTGTCTCCCAGGCTGGGTGATTAGGAGAAGGAGAAGCAGTCTGGTGCATGAAATACCCTGAATCATGGTTTCTTATTCTCCCTATGTGTCTTCCTCTCCTGAGTAGAAGTGTATGGCTTAAATGTTCTGGTATCAGCCTGCACTTCTTTCAAGTCACCCCAACAATCCTGGAAAAATAAACAAACAGTCACCCCCAGGATAGCCTCATGATCCCTTTGAGAAGGTCATATTTCTCCATGAGGTGAAATATTGAGTACAGAACCGGGTTGGTCAAGAGTGTATATAGAGTTTGTTACAATATTGTGTCACCATGAAACCCACACTTTCCAGGAGAGTTACCTGCAGCCATGTGTATTCTATTGCTACTGGTGAGCGCTCCCTTCCTCCATAACTGGCTGCAACAGCTGTTTCACCACTTCTGTCTGATTCTCGGACATCTGTGTATGATGCCATCTAATGACACCCTCCTATCATACCTACAAGTTCTTCTCCAGACCAACCTCAGGAGATTCTCTCTTTAGTGAGGGTTTGTGCTGAGTATTCAAGCCACTGTTTTTATTTTCCCCTAAAGTTCTGGACCTCAAAGAGCTTTGTTGAAGCCACTTAATTTGGGTAGCCTTATTTCCCTGTGTGAAAACAGGGAAAGAAAGCATGTGAGTTCCAGGCAAACGCTACTGCTGTAGTTCCTTTAATTCTGGTGGATTCCTGTGTTGTATAATGCAGTGACCACTGCCCACATCTTCTTTGTGTTCGATTTCAGAATGTCAGAAACGTCAATGCTTATTTCCCTGAAGCCCGCTGGTATGATTACTACACGGTAAGTTTTCTTATGCTTTATCTAAGTGAGGGAAATGTATACACAAATAAGTTAGCTGGATAGTTCTCATGGAAAACACTGGCTCTGGGTCTGCCTGCTGTTTAGCCTTGCATAAATCACCTATAACATTGAAACTCGGATTTTGTTACTGGTATATAGAGAATGAGCACCCAATGACATAGATGTTGTAAAATAAATATGAAGCTTCTCACTGAGGGCCTGTGTCATATTCAGAGGTCTCTACCTGAGAGTCTGTATATTTTTTTGTAACAATCACTATGCACAATGTTGTATAATGTGGACACTAGTAAACTCTTCAAATTGTGGTGTGAGGTATAGTTTATGTTTATTTTTTCTGCTGCTGTAAGTTCCCAAGTACACAGATAGTTTCCTATCTTTATTACATATTTTCTATAACATAAATGTTTGAAGAAGAGTTGTCCTAAATAAGGACCTATGCTCAGGAGTCCAGGAGGCAATGCAGTGAAGGCACGCAGATGTGTGATACCGACATTTGCAAGTCTAAGCAGTGCACGTGCATTTCTCCCTGCGGAGCCCACAGAGGCCATGTTGTATAGGTTCTTGTCTGGTGTAAGGCCCATAGCAGGGGATAAGACCAGGAGAGATAACAGGGTAACACCTAGATAACAGGGTCTTTGAATGCAGCTTCAGAAAGGTCCCTGATGGGACACATTGAGTCAGAGTGTGATTCTTCCAGAAGAAAGAAAGGGGATGTGCTTACCCTCTAGCCTGTCCTCCTTTTCTGAATTTAAAAGCAGATGTATTTCTGAGTAGTCAAAGGTTGAGGAATTGCTATTGAGCAGCAAGACAAGAACAGAGCATCTGCAATCCCATGATCCTAACTGTAGCAGTGTGAATGGATGACTACTGCACAAAAAACAGGGGAAGTGGGTTTCTTGCTGTTCTCTGTCCTGTTGAGCCCTGGTTTGTTTGTCAACAATTCTTTATTACTCTGCTAAGTCTCTCCTTAGGCTGATAATTGGTTATGATTGCCTTGTGCTTTCCATGCAGGGCTCTCTGGAGAGAGAGAAACCTACTTCCTTTGAGTGAGCTTAGCCTTGGTCTTGAGAATATTTGGCACTGTGTGGAGCTAATTTTGGTAGTCCCATTGGTGCAGGGCACATGGATTTTTGCTGATGTCTAGTATATTAACACAGAAGATGCTGCTAAACATGGAAAATCACAAAGTTCTTGAGACAAAGAATTTTTAGCCCCAAATTTCAATAGTGCTGACATTGACACACCCTGCTATATTTGAAAAAGTGTGGAAGAACAGTCCCTTAGGATGAGGTTTATGACTCAGGTTAGAGAGCACTTCTCACATATGAGATAAAATAATGGTTTTCCACATAAAGGCAGATGCATTCACTTTAAGATAAGGACATGTAAATTAACAGCTCACGTTGTTCTTTCCTGTGAAGCAAGAGCCATAGGTTTTGTAGTCAGGTGGGCAGGCAGGGGAGGTGGGGTGAGGGTGGGCCTGGGACAGTTAGTGGCAATGGAGAGTCAGTAGACCATGGTGAAAAAGAAGGTCTAGGAATGTCTTTGTGGAGATTGCATCGAATGTGAACAAGAAGTGAATGAAGCATTTATTCCACCTGTAGCAGTGGTCTGTGACACAGAAACACACCCTTCGTGAAGGTGGAGTGTGATTTGTCCTAGCACCTTGTGTAGTGTGTTGTATAGAAATCCCTGAAAGACAAGTCATTCAGCAGCAAAGCCAGATGTCACCCAGCGCAGAGTGTGTGCAGAACGTGTCCTTCCAGGTATGTGATGAATGATGAAGAACAGGCGGCAAGTTCAGAGAGGTAGACAAGATGTCTGCCAAATGACTGTGAGGGAGATGTCTGTCCTGTCTCTCATGCTGTCCTTTAATTCTGCCCACAGGGTGTGGACATTAATGCAGGGGGACAGTGGAAGGACTTGCCAGCCCCTCTGGACCACATTAATCTTCACGTGCGTGGAGGCTACATCCTGCCCTTGCAGGAGCCTGCACGGAACACTCACTTAAGGTGAATGATAAACCAGGGCTCTGCTTTGCATAATGTTGAAGCTCACTGATGTGTAACGAATGTTCAATGCCGTAATTATCATTCTCAGGTGCAAAACAATTTTACTAAGAACTTTGTTTTCTTAATTTTTTCATTTGCTTTTGTTTTCACCATTACCAAACTTTTTTTTTCTTTTTCTATCTCCACCTATTGAGGAGAAGATGCTGAAGACTGTGGAAGGGCCATGAAGCCTGTTGGGCAGCCTGTGTGTAGGATACATGTTGAGAGCTGTCGTCATATTCTCTCTGTATGTCCCTTGGTCTCTTCTCATGGATCTTTTTATGTGCAGCTTCACCCTGGTGGGTTTTGAGAGGCCCTCATACCCTTTCTTAACCCTCTGAGTTTCATAAACAC